CAAAGGAACGGACAAGGAAGCGCAGACGGATCGATCCAATCACGCCGGACGCTGAGACAGGAGAGGCCCCAAAGAAGGACTCAGCCAGAGCCTATTCCCTGAGCTCAGCCGGTCCTTGAATCCCGCTCCTGCCCCTCAGACCCAGCGCACCGGGTGCCTCCCCTGAGAGCCGCCAGGAGGGACTGTGGGACCGGAACGTGCGGGGGCGCAGGAGCTGGGCACCGCCCGTCCTTCGGAGGGAGGGTGGAGAGAGAGTGCAGTGGTGCCAATTGCTCTCGCTGCGTCAGGGGTTCCAGATAGCCAGAACCGCAAAAGCAGGCGGGGGTGTCCCAGAGTCAGCTCTGCCTGCACCCCAGGGCACTGGGGCCGGGCGTGGGGCGGGGGGTGGTATAAGAGGACAGCCCAGCAGACGGCTGGGGATCTTGGAGCCCAGCTGTGTGCCAGCCCAAGTCCGAACTTGGATCACATCAGATCCTCTCGAGGTGAGAAGAGGCTTCATCAAGGGTGTACTTGAGGGGAGGGGGCGATGCTGGCTCCGAGCCTGACTCTGCTCCTGAGAGGCAGGGCCTGCAGCCTGGACTCCCGGTCCTGAGCAGTGAGGGCCTGGAAGTCTGCAGTTTGGGGCCTTTTAGGGAAAAAGGAACTACGGACTCAGAAGTTTGGGTTCCATAGGGAGGGGCAAGATCGGAGTCTAGATTCCTGGCTCTCTAGGGGTCTGAAGAACAGGACTTTTGGGTCTGAGGGAGGAGGGGCTGGGGGCCTGGACTCCTGGGTCTGAGAGGAGGGACTGGGACCTGGACTCCTAGGTCTGAGGGAGGAGGGCGATGAGGGTCTGGACTCCTAGGTCTGAGGGAGGAGGGCGATGAGGGTCTGGACCCCTGGGTCTGAGGGAGGAGGAGCTTAGGGGTCCGGAGTTCTGAGTGTGAGGAAGGAGAGGCCAGAGAAATTTCTGGGTCTGAGGGAGGAGGGGCTGGGCCTGAATTGCCTTCTCCTTCTCAGCTCCAGCAGGAGAGGCCCTTCCTCGCCTTGCAGCCCCTGAGCGGCTCAGCAGGGCACCATGGCAGGATCCCTTCTCCTGCCCCTGCAGATCCTACTGCTATCGTTAGCCCTGGGAACTGCCGGACAAGAAGGTGAACACTGGACTGGGAAGCTTGACCTCACCTCGGGGCCCCCACTGACTCTCTCCAAGGAGTCCCTGAGTCAGAACCCCTCCCTCCTCAAACAGCTTCCATCCTGGGAGGACCAGACTGTCGGCTGAAGCCCCTGCTCTTCCTGCTTCTGCTGCCTCAGGGGTCTCTGTCCCCTCCAGGCCCTGCCTCCTGTGCTCAGTGTCTCTCTGTGGTTCCCCCAATGAGATGCCCCTCCTGGGTTTCTGAGTGGGCTGCTTCTCTGTCTCTATCCCTGTCTCTTGCTTTCTCTGTATTTCTCCACGCGTTTCCATCTGTCTCTCTCCATCTCTGACTCCGGGAATCCCTGAGGTGCAGCTTCAGCCCTCCCCTGAGGCTGGCTACCCACATGCTCCTCCATGTCTCCATCCAGCCCAGGGTGACAAGATTATTGATGGTGCCCCATGTACAAGAGGCTCCCACCCATGGCAGGTGGCCCTGCTCAGTGGCAATCAGCTGCACTGCGGAGGCGTCCTGGTCAATGAGCGCTGGGTGCTGACTGCCGCCCACTGCAAGATGAAGTAGGTGCCGCCCAAGGCTCTGCTGGAGGTGCGCCAGCATCTCCAACTCCCTGTGGAGAGGTGGGGGGCGGGGGCGGCTGTCTTTCTGTGCCTACGGCTCTATCCTCCTCTCTCTGGCTCTCTGACCCCCTCTCCCTGGCTCTCTGTCTCCCTCTCTCTCTGGGTCTCTGTCTCCCTCTCTCTGGGTCTCTCTCCCCTCTCTCTGGGTCTCTGTCTCCCTCTCTCTGGGTCTCTGTCTCCCTCTCTCTGGGTCTCTGTCTCCCTCTCTCTGGGTCTCTGTCTCCCTCTCTCTGGGTCTCTGTCTCCCTCTCTCTGGGTCTCTGTCCTCCCTCCTCTCTCTGGGTCTCTGTCCCGCCTCCTCTCTCTGGGTCTCTGTCTCCCTCTCTCTGGGTCTCTGTCTCCCTCTCTCTCTGGGTCTCTGTCCCGCCTCCTCTCTCTGGGTCTCTGTCTCCCTCTCTCTCTGGGTCTCTGTCCCGCCTCCTCTCTCTGGGTCTCTGTCTCCCTCTCTCTGGGTCTCTGTCCCGCCTCCTCTCTCTGGGTCTCTGTCTCCCTCTCTCTGGGTCTCTGTCCTGCCTCCTCTCTCTGGGCCTCTGTCCCCCCCTCCTCTCTCTGGGCCTCTGTCCCCCCTCCTCTCTCTGGGTCTCTGTCCCCCCACCCCCGGGTCTTTGCACACCCTCTCTGTCACAGTGTCTCTTCTGAATCTCTGAATGTCACTCTCTCCTCCCAGTGACTACACCGTGCACCTGGGCAGTGATACGCTGGGCGACAGGAAAGCTCAGAGGATCAAGGCTTCGAGGTCATTCCGCCACCCTGGCTACTCCACACAGACCCATGTTAATGACCTCATGCTCGTGAAGCTCAATAGCCGGGCCAGGCTGTCATCCACGGTGAAGCCAGTCAGGCTGCCCTCCCGCTGCGAACCCCCTGGAACCACCTGTACTGTCTCTGGCTGGGGCACTACCACGAGCCCAGATGGTAGGTGGCTTCAGTGACCCAGGAGTCCAGGCCCCACCCCCACCCCTCAGACCCAGGAGTCCTGACCCCAGTCCCCTCCTCCCTCAGACACAGGAGTCCAGACCCCAGTCCCCTGCTCCCTCACCCAGGAGTCCTGACCCCAGCCCCTCCTCCCTCAGACCCAGGAGTCCAGACCCCAGCCCCTCCTCCCTCAGACCCAGGAGTCCAGACCCCAGCCCCTCCTCCCTCAGACCCAGGAGTCCAGGCCCCCAGCCCCTCCTCCCTCAGACCCAGGAGTCCAGACCCCAGCCCCTCCTTCCTCAGACCCAGGAGTCCTGACCCCAGCCCTTCTGGCCCTCACCCCATCCTCTCTGACTGACAGCTCTCCCTGCTCCTCCCTGCAGTGACCTTTCCCTCTGACCTCATGTGCGTGGATGTCAAGCTCATCTCCTCCCAGGACTGCACGAAAGTTTATAAGGACATGCTGGGAAATTCCATGCTGTGCGCTGGCATCCCCAACTCCAAGAAAAACGCCTGCAATGTGAGACTCTCCCCCTCAATTCCTCCCCAGTCCTGGGTACCCTGTCTGTATGCCCCAGGGGCAGAGCTTGACCCAAGTGACTGGGCACCGAGCCTGGCCTTGCCCTCCCCCCAGGCCCGGCCTCCTCAGCTTTTTTCACCTCATTCTCTGCCTAGGTCAGGGGTGGGAGCTTACTTAGGGGTCAATGTGGCCCTGGGGATGGGACAGAGAGTTTAATAGGGGTGAGAAAGTGGGGGCGGGACCAGGGAAGGAGAGTGAGGTGCTGGTCCCAGGCCCAAACCTTAAGGGGGCACCGAAAACCTCAGCGATTGAGATACATCGTAATGCGATATTTAAAAATAAAAAATAAAATTAATGCAGAAGCCCATGATGGATAAAATGTTTCCATTTTAAATAAAGAGCAGGTGACTCTTACTGAATTTTCCCTCACTGTAGGGGCCAGCGTGGCTCAGCACAGCGCTGTACTGGCGCTGTCTTCATTTCAAATGTGAATACGATGTCCATCATGCAGTTTTGTGAATTACATTTGATTTTGTTAAATACTGTACTGAAGTATTATGTATTACAGTTACTGAGATTTTGTGCCTGAAGCTGATGACTCACTCAACTGACCCTGGTCCTGGTCCCGGGGAAAACACTGTTTCCCTCCACCTCGTCCCTGTTCCCTCTTCCTGGCCTTTTGTCATCCCCTCTCTGTTTCTGAACGGTCTTCCCCCGTCTCTCTTTGTGACATAATTTCATTTCATCCTTTTCCTCTTTGTTCTTTCTCTGTGTTGAGCTAGCTTGCTCTCTCTCCCTTGCTGTCTCTCCACACACTCCTCTCTGCTCTCTCTTCTCCCTCTTTCTCTCGCTTCCCTCTCTCCCCTCCCCTGCCTCTCTCTCCTCTCCCTGCCCCCCTCCTCTCTCTTTTTTTCTTGTCTCTCTGTCTCTTCTCTGGCCCTCTCCTCTCTCTCCCCCTCCCACTTCTCTATCTCTCTTCATCTCTCTCCCTCTTCTCTCCTTGCCCCCTCCTTTCTACTCTGTCTCTCTCTCTCTTTCTTCTATCTATCCTCTCCCCACCTGCTCCCCCATCTCTGTCTTTTTTTATTCTCTTCCTCTCTTCCAGTCTCTCTCTGCTCTCCCCACCCCCACCCCATCTCTCTCCCCACACCTTCCCCCCTCCCCCTTCTCTGTCTCTCTCTTCTACCTCTTTCTTCTCCACCCCCATCTCTCTCTTCTCCTCTTCCCACACCCTCCCCCTCTCCCTTATCCCTTTGTCTCTCTCTCTTCTCCCTCCTTCTTCTCCACCCCCATCTGTCTGTCTCTTTCTCTCCCCATACCCTTTCCCTCTTCCCCATCTCTCTTTGTCTCTCTCTCTTTTCCCTCTTTCTTCTCCACCTCCAACTCTCTCTGTCTCTCCACACCCATCCTCCTTGCTCACATCTGCACCTTCGGCTCTCAGGGGATGTGGGATAGTGAGTGTTAGGGATAGAGGTGATGGCAGAGAGATGACTGTCCTAGAGAACAGGGTGTTCCCCTTCTCCCCTGGTAAGGGCCAGTTCCATGAATGTGCAAACTCTGCACTGCCACAGAGCCCCACACTCAGAAGGGTCTCAAACTTAGTCTAATGTATTCCTGTTGTTGTCTTGAAATTCTTAATAATTTTTGAACAAAGAGCCCTGCGTTTTCATTTGGCACCAAGCTCTGTAAATTATGTAATTGGTCTTGACCCTGGTCTCCGAGACCATCGTGTCCCCCTTTCCTGTGCAAGACGGCATGCATCCACCCTTTGGAGATGATGTTTCTTCTCCCAGTAGCTTGGAGCAGGGTCCTTAACATTGGAAAATAAAGAGTGCTCTGATCCGGAAACCCCACCCCTTCTCTGCAATTGCTCTCATTGGCCAAGGGTGAAACCAGTGTCTTCAAAGGACCTAGTGTGTTCCTAGCACTAGCTCTCCCATTGGTCCCCAGAGACAATGAGTCTCTTCTCATTGGCTGTGGGGTGGAAGTCCATAATCTACAAGACAAAGACCGATAACTGAGGAATGTATGATAATGAGTTGGGTTTTGATCTGAAGCCAAAGTTAATCTCCGGCTGTATTCCCTCTAGGGTGACTCGGGGGGACCGTTGGTGTGCAGAGGTACCCTGCAAGGTCTGGTGTCCTGGGGAACTTTCCCTTGCGGCCAACCCAACGACCCAGGAGTCTACACTCAAGTCTGCAAGTTCACCAAGTGGATAAATGACACCATGAAAAAGCATCGCTAACACCCCACCAAGAGTTAAATAACTGTGTGCTTCGAACAGAAAATGCACAGGAGTAAGGACGCTGATGACCCGTAAAGTCATATTTGACTTTACCTTTCCTCAGAGATATACTTAAACCTCATGCCCTGTTTGTAAACCAATCAAATTGGTAAAGACCTAAAACCAAAACAAGTAAGGAAACAAAACCCTCAGTGCTGGAGAAGACTCAGTGAGACCGTCACTCTCAAACACTGGAAGTGGATGTTCTACAGTCTTGATGGAAGACAGTTGGTCAACGTACACCGAGACCCTTATTCACCACCTTTGATCCAGTAACGCTAGTCTTAGGAAGAACCTATTAAAAAAAAAAAATCCAAACTGTAGAACAAGACTTGAATTTATCATAATATTATTTATCACAGAAATAAAGTGAAAACATCAAACATGTTCCAAAAGTACTGGATGGCTTAAATAATAGTCTGGTTTGGCACAATGATTTTTTTTTTCTTTGAGACAGAGTCTCACTCTGTTGCCCGGGTTACAGTGCAGTGATGCAATCTTGGCTCACTGTAACCTCTGCCTCCTGGATTCAAGTGATTCTCATGTCTCAGCCTCCCAAGTACCTGGGACTACAGGTGTGCACCACCACACCAGGCTAATTTTTTGTGTATTTTTACTAGAGACAGGGTTTCACCATGTTGGCCAGCGTGGTCTCGAACGCCTGACCTCAGATGACCCACCCACCTTGACCTCCCAAAGTGCTGGGATTACAGGCATGAGCCACCACGCCTAGCTCACAATGATATTATAAACCTATTAAAAATGATTCTTAGAATTGTTAGTATTATGCAAGAATGTTTAGGCTATATGATGCTAAATGATAAAAGGAAGAGACAAAAATATATATGTATGTGAACTTAACCATAAAAAATAAAATATTCACAGAATCAAATCTGAAAACACATGTCCCAGACTGCATACTGGGGTCGTCATGAGGTGTCTCCTTCTTTCTGTGTACTTTTCCTTGCATGTGTGCTTTTATAACATGAAAAATAAAGGCGGGAAAAAAAGTCTGAAGATCTGCGGTTGGAGAGAGGAGACCCTTCAGGAAGGGAGCCTAGAAAGAAAACTGTGACTGCTTTTCAGCCCTGGTCCTGCCTGCCCTGTTCCAGGGTATAGTTCCGTTTCCCAGATCTCAGTTTTTCCTTCCTGTAACATGGGAGAGAGAAGAAAGGACGGAGAGAGGAAGAAGGAGGGGAGGAGGGAGGAGAGAACAGGCCGACTTCAGACTTCATCACCGTGGGAAGGGGTGTGAAATTGTTTCTGAATATCTCACGAGTGACAAGTGAGGAGGGAGTCAGGCGGGTTTCAGAGGGATTGAGATGGTGGTAGACAGGACACAGGGGTCCCACAGGGGTCTGCCAGAAGTGAGCGAACAATGCTAGAGGAAGACGGTGGCACCTGCTCCCCAAGAAGGGAGGGAAAGGAACCTCGGGAAGGGGGTAGGATGAGGGAGGAGTCCTCTGTGACTCAGAGCCTGGCCACACCCCCAGCCTTCTAACATCAAAGATCCTCTGTGCGGTCACACCTCAGACGCTGCTGACCGAGGAGCCACTCTAGCCCAGGACGCGCCCCTCCTATCTGTTCTTCCTGTTTCTCTCCCAGAATTCTGCCCCCACCAACATCCTCCAGATCCTTCCTCTCCTTATCTCATCTCCCTCTGAGTCTCTCCTAACCCAGGCACCCCAGCCCTGTCATATTGCAAAAATTCTGCAGCCACTAATTCTGATTCTCCCATGTAGGAGGCTAACACACAAAACACAGGAGTCCAAGATCCCAGCCCCTCCTCCCTCAGACCCAGAAGTCCAGGCCCCCCAGCCCCTCCTCCCTCAGACCTAGGAGTCAAGGTCCCCAGCCCCTCCTCCCTCAGACCCAGGAGTACAGACCTCCTCCTTAGCCCTTTCTCCCTCAGACCCAGGGGTCCAGGTCCCCTCTCAGCCCCTCCTCCCTCAGACCCAGGAGTCCAGACCCCCCAGCCCCTCCTCCCTCAGACCCAGGGGTCCAGGTCCCGAGCCCCTCCTCCCTCAGACCCAGGAGTCCAGGCCCCCTCTCAGCTCCTCCTCCCTCAGACCCAGGAGTCCAGACCCCCCAGCCCCTCCTCCCTCAGACCCAGGAGTCCAGACCCCCCAGTCCCTCCTCCCTCAGACCCAGGAGTCCAGACCCCCCAGCCCCTCCTCCTCCCTCAGACCCAGGAGTCCGGGCCCCCAGCTCCTCCTCCCTCAGACCCAGGAGTCCAGGCCCCCTCTCAGCTCCTCCTCCCTCAGACCCAGGAGTCCAGACCCCCAGCCCCTCCTCCCTCAGACCCAGGGGTCCAGGTCCCCGGCCCCTTCTGTTTCTGGGCCTGTCAAGTTTAAAGAATGTCAAAAATTTTTGACCACTCATTCCCCTGAAGTTTTATCAACATTTTCTCTCTCTTCTGCAAACCACTCCAATATTCAATCTAGAATTTTTAAAAGTAACAAAACATTGCCTTTGCACTAAGTCAGCCCGGAGATCCCCGGCCCTGGCCCTCTGCTCTCCTATATGCAAGGTACAGGTAGATTGGTTTGCAATGATTGAGATGGTACTAATGTTGATTTTTTTTTTTTTTAAGTAATTCATTTTTCTTTGGGTAAGGAGTATAGTGTGGTAGTTAAGGGATTAGCTCCGAATCCTGGCTTCTTAGGTTCGAATCCCAGTTCTAGCCCCTACAAGCTATTTTCCTTTAAGCTCATTAGTTCCCCCGTCCCTGTTCCTTCATCCTTGAAGTGGGAGAAAAAGCACCTATTTCTAGGGTTATTACAGAGATTCAATAAGTTAATATACAGAAAGCGCTCAAACAGTTTATGGCAGAGGGTAAGCCTTCAATGGGCATTGGTTTTAGTTTTTGTTTGCTTTGTTTTGTTTTGTTTTTGAGACGAAGTCTTGCTCTTGTTATCCAGGCTGGAGTGCAATGGTGCGATCTCAGCTCACTGCAACCTCCGCCTCCCAGGTTCAAGTGATTCTCCTGCCTCAGCCTCCCAAGTAGCTGGTATTACAGGTGACTGCCATCATGCCCGGCTAATTTTTGTATTTTTAGTAGAGATGGGGTTTCACCATGTTGGTCAGACTGGTCTCAAACTCCTGAGCTCAGGCGATCCGCCCGCCTCGACCTCCCGAAGTGCTGGGATTACAGGCGTGAGCCACCGCGCCTGGCCTAGGCATTGGTTTTTATTGTTTATGACTTCTGGCACTTTTTTCTGCTTACAGTCTCACGAAGTTTCCTTATAAACTTTTTTTCTTTTTTTGATATAGGGTCTTGCTGTATCATCCAGGCTAGAGTGTGGTGGCATGATCATAGCTCACTGCAGCCTCAATCTCCTGGGCTCAAACAATCCTTTTGCCTCAGCCTTTTGAGCAGCTGGGACCATGCCTGGCTGATTTTTTTTTTTTTTTTGGTAGAGATGGGGTCTCACTATGTTGTCCAGGCTGCTCTCTAATTCCTAAGCTCAAGTAATTCTCCCACTTCAGCCATCCAAAGTGCTGGGATTACAGGTGTGAACCACTGCACCCAGACAAAAGAATTTATTTATTGAAGATTTTTGCAGAGCAAGTCAATCTGGAGCAAAATATCCAGTAAATAAGCATTCAAAGTATGCAGAGATGGCAAACCATGAAGATCACCAGAGAAGTGGTAGAGTTAGGAATTTATTTCTCTTCAAAGTCCCTCCACTCCCCACAGCCTTAACACCTCTCTTCTTTCCCCACCCAGCTCTCAACAATTCCTCCCGAGTTCACTCCCCTCGTACTGTCATAAGATAGACCCAGCCAGGCCACCGAGGGATGGGCCACATCCACTGCCGTGTCGGAAGTTGAGTTCCCATTCAGGCTCCACCATTTCCTGGATGTTTGATGTTGAGCAATGAACTTCCTGTTCTGAGCCTCAGTTTTCTTATCTGTAAAATGGGAGTGAGTGTGATAAAGTCATTTAGTCATTTGATCAGTCTTTCCTAAGGCTGATTCTGGGCCAGGTCCTGTGTGGTTGCTTGGGACACAGGGATGAGTCAGTCCCATACCTGCCCTCAAGGAGCTCATGGTCCAGTGGAAGAGACGACGAATGTCAATCCAGGTGGCCCCCGTCCAGGGTGAGTTGAGGGAGACACCTGCTGTGGGAACCTACGTGAGAGAATGAGGAGGTGGAAGTTGGGTGGTGTTCGGGGAAGGTTTCCTGGAGGAGGTAATGTCCAAGCAAAGACTTGAAGGACAGGTTATTGCCAGGAAAAGGTGGGGAAAACATGCTAAGAAGAGAGAATAGGCCGGGTGCGGTGGCTCACACCTGTAATCCCAACACTTTGGGAGACCGAGTTGGACAGATCACCTGAGGTCAGGAGTTCATGACCAGGCTGGCCAACATGGTGAAACCCCATCTCTACTAAAAATACAGGCATGGTGGCATGTGCCTGTAATCCCATCTGCTTGGGAGGCTGAGGCAGGAGAATTGCCTGAACCCAGGAGGCAAAGGTTGCAGTGAGTAGAGATCACGCCACTTCACTCCAGCCTAGGCGACAGAATGAGAGTCCGTCTCAAGAAGTAGAGGGAATAGCATTCAGTGAAGGGCCAGAGGCCAGAGGGCATGGCATGGGTCAGGGAAGCTTGATGTGTTCTAGAAAGCTGGAGCCACACGGAGATGTAGGCATAACTGTGTCATGCAGTGTGAGGGCCACTCACCACTCAGGACTCTTTTTAAAAAAATTTTTGACAGGATTTGGCTCTGTCACACTGGAGTGCAGTGGCATGACTATGACTTACTGCAACCTGGGCCTCCAGGCTCAAGGAACTATCCCACGTCAGCCTCCTGTAGAGCTGGTACCACAGATGTGTGCCACCACACCTAGGTTATTTATTTATTTATTTATTTATTTATTTATTTATTTTAGAGAGATAGGGCCTCACTATGTTGCCTAGGCTGGTCTTGAACTCCTAGGCTCAAGTGATCTTCCCACCTCTGCTTCCCAAAGTGCTTGGATTACAGGTATGAGCCACCTTGTCCAGCCATGTCCAGGGCTCTTGATGGCTTAAAATGAGCTCCAACTGAGACATCTGTAAATATATATGACACAACAGATTCCAAACACTCAGGGTGCCAAAAAGGAAGAAGGGCAAATAATCCCTTTACTAATTTTCTTATTTTTATTTAATATGATAATATTTTGGATATATTGAATTCCATGAACTATTAGAATTAGCTGCTCCTGTTTCTTTTTAATTTTTACTTTCTTTTAAATTTATCTATTATTATTATTGAGTCAGGGGCCTCGCTCTGTTGCCCAGGCTGGGGTGCAGTGGCACAGTCACAGCTCACTGTAGCCTTGACCTCCCAGGCTCAACAATTCTCCCACCTCAGCCTCCTGAGTAGCTGGGACTACAAGTGTGCACCACCACATCTGGCTAATTTTTTTACTTTTTGCAGAGATGGTTTCTCACTATGTTGCCCAGGCTGGTCATGAACTCCCAGACTCAAGCCATCTACCCACCTTGGCCTCTCAAAGTGCTGGGATTACAGACATGAGCCACCATGCTTGGCCTTAAATTTATTTTTTAATCAACAAGTAAAAATTGTATATATTTCTGGTGTATAACATCATGTTTGATATATGTATGTATACATTGCGGAATGGCTAAACCAAGCTATTTAACATGTGCATTATTTTACACCCTTAGTTTTTGTGGTAAGGACACTTAAAAAATCTTCTGACTTAAAAAAAAAAGGGTGTGGTGATTGGAAAACAAATGTGCATGCGTGCTTGGCATCACATTTCATCGACCCAGGCTTCCCTGGATGCTAAAGGTCCTCAAACGCCAGGCTGGGGGGCTGGGACTTGGTCCCAAGATTGGTGGGGACCCAAGGCAGGGCTGTGAGAGGAGAGGGAAGGTCAGCACGAGGCACAGGAAGGCCTCTCTGGGGTCAGGCGAGGGATACAGAGAACAGAGGGCTCCTGGTCCAAGAGGGAGAGGGTGCAGCTCTGAGCTGGGGTTGGGGGTGTGGGGACAGAGA